GCGTTCCCAAGTTGCCTCTTCCTTCACCGTGGTATCCGTCGTAAAACTGCGGAGAGTCGGCAGCAGCCGGCCGGGCTCCTGTAAAATCCCACTTGATTTCGCTCACGAGAGGCCAGGTCGCTGCAACCGCTTCCGTTGCGGCGGACGAGTGCCGGCACAACGCGGCTGCAACACGGCGAAATTGGCCTCTGCGATGCGAAACGCTTCTCCGGAGAGGCCGTCGCGCGTTTCAGCGAGCTGTGATTTACCGTTTCCACATTCGCGCCGCGACGACGATCTCCCCTCGTCGGAAGGAGCATTCCGACGTGGCGAGCTATAAAACGGCCCTCGACCGCGAAACTTTACTAGTAGATAGTAGGAGATGCAAATCCGGAGCGCGGCCGAAGTTCCTGGTTGTTTGCGAATCGCAGATAATATATATATATATATATATATACGACGTCGATCTTGCGCGTCATCGATCGCGCGAGATTAAGAATCTCGTATTCCGATGGGAAATATGTCGCCAAGTGAAGATTTATTTTGATACTATTGCGCCATCCGGACACCGTGTCCCGTGTACTCGAGTACAAGACGGCTTGATCGGGAAACACGAAGCACTTCATACCGCGAATAACTTACATACCGAGAGGTAAATCTCTCGTCCCATAGATCACGGTGCAGAAATTCTAGGACTCGTGACTGAGTTTTTGATAGCGAATCCAGTGCCAGGGGGACACTATCGCGATACAGATTCAGGAAGTCTTGGCGACTCTTGAGGTTACGAAGGCAACGGCTCAGCCGCGGATAACTCACGTATCAAAATGCAAATTCAGAGCAGAACTACGGTCTCGATTTCTCGTAGATTGTTTCTCCCAACGTGACACTTGCGCATTACGGATCGTGATTCAGGAAGTCTCGCGAGTCTCGGGGAAGATATTCTGGTAACGAGCCGTAAAGTAGCGCTCGACCGCAAGAAGTTCGCCAGATGTGAAAGAGGATGCAAATCCGAAGCGAGGCTCAAGTTTCTTAATTTCCGATGGATCACCTTCTTCAGAGCCATCGCTTTCGCGTCGTACTCGGTAATTAGGAATTGGCGATCTGGTGAAGGTGCCTCCATAATGAGTCATAAAGCAACGTTTGACCGCGAAAATGGCTCGAGGAAATGCAAATTCTAAGCGGATACCCGTAGTTCTCGATTCTCCTACAAACTATCGTCGTAGATCATCGTAATACAGACTCGAGAATCGTGACGTCCTTAATAACCGGTCACGAGAATTTTGCATGCTGACTTGGCACTTGATATGTGAACATATCATCGATCGTTATCAGCAACTATTACGAGCGTATGATTGTTTGCAAACGAAATTCCCTTCTCTTTCTAACGCACACAGAGGATAGAAACATTTAGACATATACAATCTCAATGCTACAGTTTTCATTCCCGATTTCGCTTATCCTATTATTTGTCAATCCTGAGAATTATTTAATTCAAACGAGATATCGATTAAAGCGGCGCATTTTTTTAATTTTCGTGGAGAGTAAAATTCTGACTTATAAAATTATATCTCGCTCCTACTGCAACGTCTATGTGCAACGCTGTATTATTTTGACAACGATCGCGAAAGTAGCTAGAAGGCACTCTCTGTTAGCACCGTAACGTTAATTTCGTCCTATCCTGTAGTAACTCTGAGAATTAGCTCGGTGTCATTCTCGGCGCTCCGACTTGTTAAAGACCTAACGGATTACCATTGAAGCATGTATTTCGACATTCGTTCCGGATAATCGCGTGTCTTCGTCCGGCTCGCTTATGGCGACAAAATATCTAAACGGCGGTACAAACGATCCGCGAGCAGAGAGAGAGAGAGAGAGAGAGAGAGAGAGAGAGAGAG